TTGAGATCTTTTTTGGTTTTTTGTTCTGCTTTGTTTTGTTTTCCTGCCAGCTTGTGATTTGGAGTTGCATATAAGAAGAAAAATGTGCTGTGGCAGATGTTTTTAGTGAAAATATCAACTGTGCTGATGAAAGGGTTATCCAGTAAATAGAAGTTGGTTGTATACGTTCAGTTTTGATCCATTTTTACATGTCAGTGATTTTCATTCTAAGGATAATGCTCTTGCTCAGGGAATCCTGTCCGAATATGCAGTTTGAATTTGTAATTTTGAAGAAGGAAAACAGATTTGCTGTGGAACATAGAAATGAGCAATAAGTATTCCCTGACTACTGCAGTGAAGGGAAAGGGAGGAAATATTGCCACCTAGTGAGTGATTTGCCTGATTTGGAAAAGAATATAAGTGACTTCAGCACAGTTGAAGAGGGGGACAACAAGACGTTCACAATGCAGCCAGGAGAGCTCATACGCCACATCTTTGGTTTTGGAGTAGAATATGTGACTGGGATCTGTTCACCGCTACCTTCAGTATGGAGCAGAAAAATGTGGAATGACATCCAGCTGCTAAAGATGTTAATGATCACGAAAGATTTTTGCTGGAGGATCAGATTGATTAGTGCTGAATTGAGGTTTTTGACTCTGTGTAACATCAGTGGAATGGAATTATAGCAGGATGAAAAGCTGCTTAATGCATCACAGTTTAGAGGCAGAATTAATGTGTGCCCTGTAGGCATGGCACAGTGTGATCAGGGGATCAGAAGCAGCAGAAAATACGGAGATAAAAGCAGATAAAGAAGCAGGATTTATGGTACTTGCTGCTTATGTCTTGTAATCATCAACAGCTTAGATTTGGCTATAGAAATACAAGTACATTGTAATGTTGCAGTTGGCTGTTGACAAATACCAGTTAAATACCCTGTCTGTGCATCAGCTGCCGAGGTTGTAAAGGAATTTGGTCAAAGCAAATTTGTATTTTTGTACCATATTTTGCAAACACTACAGTTTTTCATCTTCTGAGATCCCTGGTTACTCTCAGAAAAGTTTCAAAACTGGCAGCTGAAGTAGAATTGGCTTCTGAATTTTAGCCAGCAGGACTCCTGGGCATTTCTCAAATTTCATTTGATTTCTTTCGCAGACTTCCAAAGGCAGCTGCCATCCTCCCCTTCTGAAATTGAATTGAATTGTTAAGTGTGATTGGTTATCTCTCCATGTGGTGCTTAGTGTACTACCTATAGGTTTTGTGCCTTGAAATTTCAACTGTGGCTTTAAGTTAAAAACATAAGGTCCATGGTGAAGATATAATTACTAGATAAGATTGTCTTTTCAGTTAAAGATTTAATACTGCTTGATAAATAGTGACTTCAATAGATGTACTTGTCAGGATGTACTCTTTGCTAAACAGGATCTGATCATGCAACTTCTCTAGAAGTAGTCTTTACTGTTCAGTTAGTCCTTGTGACTTGGAAAGTAAATGGGAAGTTTGTAAAGAAGAAAGATTAGATCAATTCTTAGTCATACTCAATTCAAAAGCAGTGGTACCTAAAAAGGTACCAAATTGCAGCTTGCTGCTAGGTGGGTGGGCGGTGATGTAGTTTGGGCACAGGGTTAAAATGAATTTACCGAAACATTCATAAATACTGTCAGATCCAAATGTTTGGGATATGGATGACTGCTTATGCCAACCTTAAATCTCCCAGAAATATTTCTGTTACTTTTGTCCTGAAGCAAAGCACTGGTGGCAAAGTCTCCACCTTGTCACTCTGAATCAATGCAAATCACTGCTCTGTCTAGCAAAGAGGTAGTTTTTATGGCAAGCACTGATTTTTATTTTTTTTTCCCCTAAAGGACTATTGCAGACAAGGATAGAACGCTTGTCACAACTATAAAACACTTTTATGTGTACGGAAAGCTGAGTTAAACTGCATCTATAGATCAGTGTTTTGCAGCTTCAAATATGCGATAAAGATAAAATACGTATTTAGTTTTGTGGATCAGTTCCAAGATGTTAAACAGTGTAAGAGTTTGAGAGAAACAGCTATTTATAGATGTGGCTGCAGAGTCTCTGGATCAGATGTATCTTATTTTCCCATACAAAAGTTTTAAATATTTTAAAAATATACATAAAATATGGAAGCAAGATTTTGTATATCTGCTTCCACCAAAGCTTTAAAAAATTAATTGCTTTCTCCAGTTTTTTTTAATCTAACCATTACATTTACTGTTCAGGAACTTTGATTTTGGGTTTAGAAGTCAAGCAAAATTTAATGTTAGAAAACCAGTGCAAATTTTTTACGTTAATTTTATCTTCCAAAATCTTTTGGTTTTGTGGTAGCAATGTGTCTTGCCATGTCTGTAGCTACATGGAGGCAGATGCCTATTTAATTAAGATTTCAGATGAGCCATAGTTCAAGAAATGGGAAATCCATTTCTATCACTGAATTAGGGTCTGACCCAGTGCAAAGCACCTAGCAATGTGGCTTCTCTTCTGAAGCAAACTGATTTGGTGATGGAGTTGTAGCAGGCAGTTTTGAGATACTGTGATGCCTCTTTGCTTGCCAGGGCAGCATTCCTAACGCTACATGGCGTTCTCCCAGCGAGGAAGTGTGGGATGAATTCCCCAGGCTTCTCTAGGTGTTCTTTCCATCCCAAACTTTTTCCTGTCTTTTGTCACTGTTGGATTTTGCAATTGCAAGCACAGGCTGTTCAATTGACTACTGAATGTGCTGTTCCTATTTCTGGCTGCCTGTGGCTCAAGGCAAGCAGGGAATGATGTTTCTGCCTCAGGAAATTGGCATCTGTGTTGGCCGAAGTCCTGCATGTGTCCCAGCCCGATCCCTAATTCTGATCAGCACCGTCTGCAAGCTGCGTAATGAAACAGAGAGGCTCTAATTATGTGATAGTCTGCTAGTACCGAACTGTAAATGGCATCCTGACGCTTTAGCAGTGGAAGGCTGATTCTTAATGAAATTGGCCCCTGCAGTATCTCAGGTGGAGCTGTAACTTTTTAATGACTTCTTGAAGACAGGTCATGGTTTTATAATTATCTGTATCTCTGAATATAGGGGAGTATCATTCCATTCCTCTCTCAAAGGCTTTTACCTTGTTTTCTCCCAGATTCTAGAAACTGCTGAGCGGTTGTGATTGGTGTGTCCTTGGTGTTTATTTTAGTCATTGTAGACATAAATGCTTTTTACCCTTATTATTTATATGCTATTTGACTACCAGTAAGTGAATTTGCAGCATTTAAGCTGGCATTTATTAATGACAGGATGCACAGTCTGACCTACTTTTCTGTGCACTACCAACAGTGAATATAACCCCTCGGATGAGAAATGAGAAAACTGCCAGAAAGGCTGGTATAAAGGATTCACAGAAGGCTATATGATCAAATACTACTGAATAATATAGCAAAGCTGTATCACTGAATCTATTGAAAGATATAAAATATGGTTTAAATAAATATATCATGTGTGCTGTTCAGAAGGTGGGGAAAATAGCAAACATTTCTTTGATCGAATCTAAAATTAGAGGTGTGCTTTCATGTTGGAAAACTATTCTCCATGCACTTAAATAGTGTGATTTTAGAATTATAAGCATCTTGTGGCTACACTAAGAAGTCTTTGTATCGTGGTCATTCTACAAATACAGAAAGTTTAATTTTTTAAAAGAAATTTAAGAGAGTTTTATTTGTAAGGGTGCTTTTTTTCCCCTTCTTTTTTCCCCTTCTGGTCAATTCTGCCACGTTTGTGCAAAAAAAACCCCAAACAAACCACCAAACAACAACAACAACAAATTCCCTTAGTTCCTCCCTGGTGCTGTGGTATTGTAGATGCCTGACCATTACTTTCCCACACATGATACCTGCTTCAGGGAGCCTTTGCCAAAGGTGATTTAAAAAGGCATAAGCAGAAGAAGTAGTACTTCACTTTGTGACAGCTACAGGTTATTTGATATCTTGCATATTCCTCTGTGTCACCATCTGAGGGGATGTTTGTTAAGCAGCACAGCCTGTCTCCTCGTAAATACCAGTTGCAGAAAGCGTGGAGAAAAAAAGATGGTAAGATTCACGATACCGGCATCTCTCTTCAGCCTTGCCTTTTCCACTTCAGTCTCTAACAGTAGTTGGAACTCAGGAGCATATGAAATAACTCTGAGTTATATGAAGGTGGTAAAAGAGACTAAAATTACAAGATGTAATTGGCATGGATGAATGTGTGGTGGAGTGGTTTGGGTGGAAAGGGAAGAGCACCATGAGGTTTTGATCAATTGAGAGTTTCTGATCTCCCTGAGATATCTGCTGTGGGGTGGGGTTTTTGGGTTGTGGGGGTTTTTTGGGGTTTTTTTGTTTGTTTTTTTTTTTTAAATAATGTGACCAAGAGTGGAATATAGGTGTAAGAAAAAGATTGATTCTCTTTCATAAATGCAGTGACAGATTCATGATACTTGTCTACTCCACTCCACACCTGACATGCTTGCACCTTTTTCACACACTTGCTATCCCCAAATCCTGTAATCCATGGGCAATTTCTTAAAGGAAATGCAACTTTTGTCTACTTTCAATTTTTATGCCTTGGAGATCTAAGGTATCACTGAGCATTGCTGGCAAAACCAGTGCTGGAGTCTGACACCTCCACCTCAAGAGCAGAACATATAGAAACAGTAAAACTTGTACAACCACAGTTGAAGAAATAACTATTCTTCAGAGGTGGCTTTTCTTGGGTTAAACTTGGGCAACTTCAGATAGATGGAGGTGCTAGTTCTCAGGAGCTGAGCCTGGGAACAGGAGCCAAAAAATGTTATAAGCAGTTGGCATTGTCTGCCTATTCTTGTGATGAATGTACACAGCATAAAAGCTTGATAGTGTATGGCCTTAACTTTGTATCATTTGATGATTACTCTTCCTTCTTTGGTTGAAAACCAAAAGTTTAATATTTTAAAGTTACATGATTTACTATTTAAACATAATTTTTACTCCTTCCTTTTTTTCTCATTTTTCAGTGACAATGACAAATATTGGAGAAAAAGGTAAGATTTTTATTAGCTGTTTATAAATGGAATTCATATATCAGGATAATATAGTAGTTTACTAATAGAACTGAGATACCAATCTAACCTGTTTTAAATAAGTGTATTTTTTTGTGTTCCTCAGCTCCTTTTATTATCCTGCTGTTCCTGAATATTGTTTTAGCCATTCCAAATAGAGATGAGAAAAATTAGAACTTTTTACTCTTCTTACTGGCTTTCTGAATTATCAAATAAAATATTCCTTATGTTCTGTTCTTGAGAACAGAATTTATTCATAACAAGGAAAGCTCTTGTAAAACCAGGACTTCTAAAGATGAGCAAGGTGTTTGTGCAGAGTGCAACATACTTAAACAGGAGATGAATTTTTTCTGCAGTTTCTTTTTAGCCAGTGTCTTTGAAGAAACAGAATCCTTCAGATACGTAACCTTTTTAGAAGATAATAAAACTGCCTGATTAGCTGTCATTAGAGTTCCTACCCTGAGGCTGTAGCATGTTTAGATTGCTTTTCCAGATGCTATTTAATACTACAGCACAACATGGAAGTGTAAAATGTGGGGCTGCAGAGCTTTTGGAGGAAGGGGTTGGGGGTTAGGAGACAAACCGTATGCTTTCTTTGTTTGTGTAATTCCAGCAGGTTTTATTAAGTCATTGGCGACTCACTTAGGAAGTGTTTACCAATTAAGAAATACTTGCTTGAAAAACTGTTTCCGGTTCAGTGATCTCTACCCCCATACAAGTGGATAAGCCTACCTGCAGACTTGGAAATAATTCCAGTTTCTTGCGGCTCCAAAGTGTGTGTTGTTAGGCATTGTTCACAAAGCACGTTAGAACTATCAGCAAAAGACATTAGGGAACATTAAATTTCCTTATTTTTAGCTGCTCAAAGCCTTGGTGAGCTTCAGCCAGTCAGGAGAAATTTACCCTGGTTGTACTTTTGCCTTAAATGTTTTCAGGGGTGAAAACTGCACAAATGGGGCTCAGCCCTGTTACGGTTCCTGCAAATTTCCAGGCAGCTCTAGCTATGCTAGCTATTTCTTAATGGGTTGCCTTCAAGCAAGGGATACACCATTTGGGGTTTTTTTTGGTTGGTTTGTTTGTTTGTTTGTTTTTTCAGAAAAAGTGTAAAATAGAGGGATTTCTGCCCAGGGAGCTCAGGACAGTTCTGCTTTTTCTGTCTCAAGGGAACTGAGGTTCTTATGTTGGACTTCTGAACACCCACTGGGTAGCCCAGGGTCTCCATTGTGGTGCAGGGGAACTGGTGGTAGGTAGCCTGGGAGGAGTGACTGGTTGGGACCCCAGTGAGATTGGAGAACTGAGCTGCAAGACTAAACAAGAAGAGCTTAAGTATTCTGCAGACTTTAAAGGGGAAATATGGCATAGTGTCTTTACGTTAAAATTTTGTCTTCCTCCAGTGTTTTTTTTTTTTTAATGTATGAAAAAGGGATTTTCTTGTCCATCACAGTTACTGTTACTCTCACAACAATAAAATGTAGCTGCAGATTAGTAAACGCATAGTGCACAGAACTGAAGTAACTTGCCCTACCTTGCCCTCGCTTTATGCCATGAATAAAAAAAATACTGATTTTGTTTGAGTCAGTCAGGTTTTTTTAGAGTTGATAGAACTGTTCTGATAAAAATGTGGGCTGTTCCTGCCAGATCCTTGTGCAGTAACAAGATGGTCATTTAGTGTATTGTGCTTGATGTGGAATCCAGTTCTGTCACTTATACTGATGAGATTTTTTTCAGTTCATAGACATAGAATCTTTAAGGTTGGAAAAGACCTCCAGGATCATCAAGTCCAACCGTCAACCGACGTGGCATATGGCTCTTTTCCCCATCATCCCAAAAGCTTTGTACAGTGTTGCTCCTCAGATTTTGTTAGCTTTTGTTTATTATTTTTAACTGCGTGCTATTTTTTTGAGAAAAGGAAGTTCAACACCAGAAACATTTTGTTCAGTGTTACTTTTGAGGCAAATTTACAACAAACAAGAACATGCTGGGCTACTTTTCCTGCACTTAGACACACCATCGTGTGTGTGTTATGGAAAATTCTCTAGCACTGAATGGCATTACATATATAAAAACATGGCCTAACCATACAAGGGCAGTATTTCAGATTGTGTAGTACAAGTACACAAGCTTCCCGTTATGATGTCCTTTATTTGCTGCCTCTCAGCCCAAGGAAGAAAAATCCAAGGAAATACTCTCTTGTGCATTAGAGCAAGTTAATTGGGGCATACAAGTTTTGGATTTACTATCTACTGTAGTGAATTGGTTAGTACAGTGAGAGCTTTTAAATGGAAACACCTGTCTGTCCATGGCAGGCTCTTTGGAAAAGTTAATGTTACCTTCTGTATTCTAGTAAAACAGCTCAGCCTAGTAAATGTTGACTGGCATCTATTAAAAAAAAAAATAATGGAAGAATACATCTTTGGCTGTGAAGAATATAAAGTAGTGTATGAACATTTAAATTTCAAGAACTTGCAGGTTTTTAAAAACCACTCTACTGTCCTCTATCCTAAAAATCTAGCAAAACAAATTAACTGGTTATGGTTACTGCTTAGGTATCATATGTGTATCCACTCAAAGACTCCCCTTGCTCTCATCATTGTTTAGGTAGCTATGCTTCCTTTTGGGGGGCTTGGGGGTTTTGGGGGTTTTGTTCGGGTTTTTTTGCATGGCTGGCAGTCTCCCTACATGGTATATAAAGCTAAAAAGCAGAGATGTATCAGTTAAATAGGATTTAACAAATGCATAAAGGGAGAGTGCTTGCTAAATAATTATGGGACTCTAATAGGCTATTAACCATTCCCCTCAAAATCTAGTTATAGATGTAGCCTGTATCATGACTTTCCCCACACAGTCTGTATTTGTCTCATGTAAAATTGCAATGCAATAGTTTTGTTGCAATGCTTTTGCAGAGCCTCTGTATGTACATCTGTTAGAGTAACTATCTGTGAAATGTACAGCATCCGTTTGTAAGTACTATAATATCACCGGTCTGTTTGTATTAATTCTGTTCCTTTTTGATTTTAGTTGTGTGCCTGGTTGCTTACCACATATTTTTCATGCTGTTCGTCTGGTCATATTGGAAAACAATCTTTACGCTACCAATGAATCCTTCAAAAGAAGTAAGATAAACTTAACTTTTGTTTCTGAAATAGCCTAGTCAAATGCCTGATTTTGTAGTATTTGAATAAACTAGACTCTGATCTCATGTAGTTTTACACTGTGTAGAAAAATACAGATGGTAGTTACAGCTTCTTAATAGGAGTAAGTCAAATTGCAAACAGGATAATGACCATGACCAAGACAAAAAAAATTACACCTTCTCTAAGTTTTAAAGTTTTTTTTTAATAGATGTTTTTAAATTAGATAATAGTTATTAAGAAGAAAAAAACCTCTCCACTTGAAAAATATATTTTTATACTTTAAAAATATTACTTGAACTAGCACCTTAACTCTTTGCACAGGAATATAATACTTTTATGTGGGCAAAAAATTGATTTCCCTGTGTTTAAGACTTGTATTGCCTGTCAGCATCTGTCTGTTGTGCTCTGAACGAAAGCTTCTTCCCTGTCCATTTTGGTATGAAGGAACGTGGGGGTTGTGGTGTGAGTGCACAACAGGTAAACTGATGCTGGGAAGCCACAGCTGGCTAGGCAGGAAGGGAGCTAGTACAGAACAGCTGCATGGAAAAGCGGTCTGAGTCAATATATACCCCAAGTCTATGTCCAGAGAGTACAGAAGTGTTAAAGAAGCAGCATCCAGCTGTTTTGGAGAATATTAAGATATAGCATGATGTAGCCTCAAGATAATTCCTTTAGTACAGTATTGAGGGTTTTTTATGAGTTTAGTTTCACATTCTTTCTAACATTAAAAAAAAAAAAAAAAAGAAACTATCAATAGTCTTGATTAAAATCCTCCCTGTGCAACTTGGTACAACCAGCACAACTTTTTGGCCTCTTCCATCCTGTCTTTGTACAGAAGGCTGACAGTCCTCAATAGGTGCTATGTCACTCAACCTCTGAGGTCAAGAGGAATAGTGCTGTGGCTGCTCTGGAGTTTGAAACATTCACAAAGCCAATACTTCGGCATGGACTCATAACTCTAGCTCTTGTAACTATCATGCCAACACAAAATAAACAGCTTGTGATTTCTGCTGTCTATTGTGCGGAGGTTCTTTTCTGAATAGCTTTCATTCACTAGTAAGATATGTAATTGTGGAAACAAATAGATAATTCAAGTAATTGGCAACTTCCTTCAATTTCACACTGCAGTCTTTACTACAGCTTGGGGCAGAGAGCAACAAAATAAATTAAGAACCCATTTCATTTGGTAATTACATAGCAAAATATATGCATGTATGTGGTGATTGTAGTGATAATTAGAAGGGTTTTCAAGTCACTGGGCTGATGCCAATAGAAGACTTCCAAAACATTTTGACGAATCCTTAGTAATTATAGTGGGATTCCAAAGTCTTTAGACAATGCTACTGAGAACTTCAAATGGGATATTAAAAATATTGTAGTTGGTAACAGAAAGCAATGTGTGATGTTTCTGTGTTCTTTGAATTTACACAATGTTGCTGGCAGTAAGTGACATGTTTGTTGTTCCATGTCTTTTTCCTAATCTACTAGAGCAGTATTTTTAAAATTAATTAGGGTATTTTGTAATAAGTTACTGCTTGGCTTCCAGTTTCTATGATGAAGTCTGTAAATGTAAAAGGATGTGTTTTCAACTTAACTGAACTGACTTACCAACTATAGCAAATACTCGATTGAAGACTGAAAAACAGATAAAGCTTTTGCGTTTTGTTTTCATGAATACCGCAGCTGGTGCAAACCACGCAGCCTGTATATTTCTTTTTAAGCTTATTTCAATGTATGAAAAGCACTAAAGTTCTGGCTGCAGCTTCTCTTTAAGAGACTTTGAGGGACTTCACTTTAGCATGTGCCATTCTGTACCTGTGTGTACCAGCTAACTACAAACATTGCGTGAAGATGGGAGAGAGGATGGTTTCCCAGACAGGAAAGTTTTGTAGACTTAGGACTACTCTGGGAACTAACACAAAATGATGGAACAGTAGCTCTGTGTACATCAAACAGGAAGCATTAAAAAAAAAAAGTATTCTGAACCAAGTTTCTGCAGTGAGAAATCCTATGTGTGCTAATATAAATCAATTCAGGTGTTGGCAAGGGTGTATTCTTGCAGGGAAAAAATGAAAGGTGACCTGAGAAACTTGTGCTAAATGTTGAACCTCCAGTTTCTGGAAGATTGTGAGCTTTGTTGGGAAGGTTGAGCGGTGCCTCCTCTCTGGAGGTGAGAATAGGCTCCTAATTGTATGTTTCTGTCTGCTTTCTTAATTTTACGTGCATCACTTTCATCTAGGAAAAAAATTGAATATTATTGTAATCACTAGCCTTTCTATAGACGTAAATGTTCTGCAGAGGGCTTCTGTTTCTACTACAGGTTAGAGACAGCACCTCTTCCTGCCAAATACAGACTTCTTTTCAGGGGTGATTTTGCATCCTGTTTCTCTGATAGAGATACCGACGACTTCGGCATCTGCCTGTTTCTAGAAGCTACAGTGACAAAGCTGACTGTGTTGCAGAGGACTTCAGAGTATAAGAAATTTGGACTACCTCGTGTATACCATGCATCTCTCTCAGTAATTTTTACTCTCTCAGCTCTCACTAGAGCAACATTTGTTGTTGCCATTTTGGGCAGTGACAGAAGTTGTCCTTTCATGCAGGAAGGTGTTCAGACGTGGTTATTCTGTCATACCAGACACCCATCTCTACCTTCTCTCAGGCAATCACTGAAGTAAAACCACATCCTAACACCTGCATGAAGAGAACAGCAACTCTCCAGTGGCAAAGAATAAAAGGGAAAATGCCAGACACCAGAAGAGAGATAAAACTATCTTTTCTGCTATTGCTAGTAGAGTATTTTCTTACAGTTAAAGACTGACATCCCTAGCTTATATTCACTAGCTGATATTTAGTATTACAGAAGTAAATTAACTGACCTTTCAAGGAAATGGTAAACTCTTGATCCCTCTCTTGAGGAGTGTTGCTTGTTACTTCTGGAAGCATTCAGCATTGCATCAATACCAAATCAGAAATAATTTTAATTTTGTCTTCAGTTGCCCTAAACTAAATTAGTAGTCTTAGGAACATTGGGTTATTTGCTGTAATACCTTGTACGTGCTGCTAATCTATCTTTATATAATGAATATTTGTTTCTCTTTACATCTCTACAGATACTTCTTTAACTTGAAATTTGCTAACATAGCTCTGATTTTAAAAATTATTCCAGTTTCATCTATCATATTCAGACAAGGAATCCCTAGAGAGGGAGCCTAGAGGTGAATCCCAGCAAGAAGTCTTAAGACGGGCAGCCAAGGATCTTCCTATCTATACACGGACAATGTCTGGAGGTAAATAGGTGTTCAGGAGACCACTGAAGGCAGATGTCTTGATGTACTACCTAAACTAATTTAAAAAAAAAATTCAAGGGTTTGAACTGTATGAAGAACTGCTCTTCATACTTCATAAAATAACAAAGTGACCCAAGAACTTAACTTTAATGCAGCTTCATACGGCTACATGTATTCAATGGAAAGATTGTTGGAAAGTAACTTGCTGTGTACAGTTTAGGATTTGCTAAATGTGTGCAAACTGACATTAACAAATAGCTTGTAATACTAACAAACTGCAGAAAAGGCTGTAGCAGTCTTTAACTGCACAGATTTCTTCTTTCATAGGTTAAAAAAATATAAAAAATAATCACTGTCTGCATGTCATGTACAGCTAGATAAATCACAGTAAGAAACTGTTACTGTTTTACTTGCTGGTTGTTCAGTTGCGAGAACAAAAGTTCTTCCAAACTAAGAGTTAATCTTAACCTGCTGATATGGTAAGTTTGTGAATGCTGGCTAGCTAAGCAAATCCAAGAGATAATCTCATATAGTAAATTAAAGCTGTTAGAATAATAGCCTAAAATAGCTATATTGTTGAACAGTCTTTAAAGTTTTTCCAGTCTAGTGAGGGTTTTGTTGGTTCACTGGTTGCTTTGCAGAGCTAAGGGGTTTGGAAGAAAAAGCCCTGATTAGCCTGATTAACAGAGATTGCAAAAACTGAGCTTTTTGGGTTCACTTTGCTAGATTCAGCATTGCAAGTACTTAAAGAATGCTTCAATATTTGCAACTGTTTCTGATCGTGCTGAAATGCTTTCCTGGGGGTTCAGCTGGGCTGAGCTGCTAGTATTTACTTTTGCGCCGGCTTCAGAAATCAAAATGTGTAACTACATTGAGACCTAATCTTGGAATTTTTTCTTTAGCAATCAGATACTGTGACAGATGCCATCTTGTAAAACCAGATCGTTGCCATCACTGTTCTGTATGCGACAAGTAAGAAAATATTTTAAATAAGTGGCTTTCTGGATAAACAGATTTTTTTTTTCTTGACACAGGAGCTTTTATTTTTTTATGCCTAGATTTTTCAGGTTTAATGTTTTGGCAGAGAAGCTTTTTTTATTCCTTAGATTTTTTTCCAGGTTTAGTTTTTGTTTGTTTGTTTATTTATTTCTAAAGAAGTCTGTAACTTACTCTAATTCATTTGATGGTTTTCTTGATGCCAACATGGATTACATGGTCTTACACATTCTTTACGTAATGGTTAAAAATTATGAATATTAATAAAGAACTTTCCTTAAAAATGTAACCAAAAATAGCTGATAAACAAAAATTTGCTTTTTTTGTTAGAATCTGAATAAAGATCACTACCCATCTCAATCTAATCATGATGTCACTTACATCTTATCTGAGGTAATAAACTTAATATCCTATTTTTCATGGGATAACTTGCAGGTTAATTTTATTTAAAGAAAGAAACAACCAAGCATTCCCCATTTCTAACTGAAGCCACAAAATAAAGTTTTTGTTTGTCTAACACCAAATGAAGTTCACCTCCATATTCCCCAGAAATCTATTTGCTTTCTAATAAAATCTTTCTTTCGGCTGTTCTTCTCTCTGACCTTTCTCCAGTTAACTTGGATGTCTGTGTTTCTCCACTCTTGCCCCCAGTGTTTTTTAAATTTCCAACTTTAAGGGGCTTCCTGAAAGGTTGATTTGTTCCAAGTACTCTTCAGGTGATAATGCATCAAACCTTCCAACACAACCATGAGGCAGAGACGACTTTCCATTTTGTCCAGCAAAACAGCAGAGGCACTGAAAGAGTAACTGAGTTGAGGCAGAAAGAGGATCTTGGTTGTGTTGTATGGGATGGTAGTTGCAATGTAAGACAGAAATGTTCTCGTGTCTGAGCAGGGTAGGGAAAAAGGGTGACCTGGGTTATCCAGTGAAATGTGAGTGAAATTTGCAGAATGCCTTTAGTTACTACCTTTTGCAGAATACTTTAATTTTGTCCTTACCTTGTCAAAATTCACTTGCTTCAATGATACCTGATTTCCTTGCGCATGTTTTATTGTGGAGAGTGATTAATTGCAAAAATGCTTGGGATTTTTCATACAAGGTAAGTTCTTAAAAACCTCCAGTGCATCTGCATATATTTCTATAAAATCATGTACTTGGAAATATATTTAGTTGCATCACTAAGTATATAATAATTGAATTAGCCTAGTTTCTAGGTCTCTGTCAGAGAATAAACAATAGTTGAAAAACCTATTCAGAATGAGAACCAAATCCTAAAGCTGAAGTTATAGATTGCATTTTCTTAAATCACTAAGCTCCAGACAGAAGAAGCATTTTGAGTTTGGGTTACCTACAGTTTACTTGTAGGTAAACTGTATTATATGAATTTAAATAGACATCTTTGTTAAATAGATTAGGTAACCAATAGTACATATGGGTAATTCTTAATCTGTGTGTGAATAATTTAAATCTGACACATAACTGTGCTTCTGACTTTTGTTTTTCTTTTGCCTTTTGCAATGCTTGGAATTATCTTGGGGGTTTTTTTTTAAGATGCATTTTGAAAATGGATCATCATTGCCCTTGGTGAGTATACTATTGGCTTTCTTTTCTTACTTTCTGATTTGATAAAATAAACTCTTGAGGGGCCTGTTATGAAGGTGATGCTTCACTATTCCTAGAGTTAGATGCTTATGTGAAGTTAATGGTCTTGCAGGACCACTGGAGTTACTTACTGTATATCCTCTTTTCCTAGTTGTGAGATGTGGAAAGAAGTTCGTGTATCATTTTTCTTAGACCATTGAGTTAGGTACCTCCATGTTTTTACAGTTAGGATGAGGTAGACTTCTGGTCAGTAAGAAAACTTCTTTTAAGAGTTGCATCTTTTCTTCATGGACTTTGAGTTTGACTGTTACTGTGGCTTAGTTGCATTGAATGATGAAATACTGCCCTGGGATAAAAACCAAAGGGAAGGGCAGTGCCTTGTTCCCCTTGTGGAAACTCCCAGGACCGCTTGAGTGGGCTTGCTGGAAACAGCAAGTTAGCTTTTTTTAGTTATATCGGTTCTTTGTTTTCTTTCATTTTTTTCTCCCCTCTCTCTCCCACCCTCCCTCCTTTTGCTGCCATGTCAGCCTGCACAGTGGTTTTGTTTTCCTGTCTTTCCTCCGCTGCCCTTGGAAACAGTGGGTAGACAGGATGTGTAATTAATTTTTTGTCAGTTTGGCAGGTATGTCACAGAAATAATTAAAGATAATTGTTTAGTAAGGTCCAAGTTAAGAGGATTGAGTGGTAGATGGCAGTTCTTCACCACATGAAACCGATCAGAAAAGAAGAATCTCCTGTGTTGGACAAACTGAATGGTAGACAGTCCCAAGCGGCTGGTTTGACCTTCTTAAATCAAATTCCTGGGCAGAGGAGACTCTGTCCTGGGGGAGGAAGGGATGCTGTGCTCAAGGGTTCTATGGGAAATATCATATGGCTATTTTGCCAACCAAAGTAAGGGTGTAAATCAGTATAATGGGTGGGGTTTAGCCCCCCTGAGAACATCATTAGGTCCTGCTTTGCTTTTTGTGTTGGTATTTTTTGGTGGGAGCAAGTTTGGTGGGAAAGAACCCATGTGATGCTTAGGGAGAGTGATGGCAATTACTACTATTTTAATATTCTGCTAGGAGAAGGACTTCTGGAGAGAGGACAGGTAAAAATAACCTAGGTAAAGTAAGCTGGAGCATTTGGAAGGCAGAGGTAGTATGATGGTAGTCATGTCCTAGCCTCAGGGCAGCTGTCTTCTGCTTTTTGGGAGGCTTTATTTTGGCTATCACTCTGGCACTAATGGAAGTGCTGTGATAAATGGAAATATTTAATGCTAATTGCCCTCTAACTATTCTAAAAGGTTTAAGTGATGCAGAAATAAAAGCATTAGTGATTTCTATGCTAGTGCTGCTGCTACTCATACTGTATATGGATGGAGCTGCAGGCATGAATGCGATGGCTTGATGCATCACCAAAAATATAATTTGTATATAACAACTCTGATACTAACAAGGCACGTTAGGAGTACCTCAGGAATCATTTTAAACATCTCTCCTTTGTCAGAGTCATCCGAAAAGAATTTAGCATCTCCTTAATTCTGTATGCTTTTTGTTAACCGAGTTGCATCACCTTTGGTGTCTTATAAGTTATTTCTTTGCCTGCATTTTCAATAAACTAACTCTTGAGACAGAAAGGATCTCTCTTTTTGTTGTACTTCAAAATTAAACATTTTAAATCTTAACTGTAATCCAAATTGTTAACCTGGACTGTTCTTCTGTATGAATGTTTTGCTGCAATAGCACACCATTATTTAGCCAGTTGTCAGTACGTTTATCAGTTTTACTCTTCATCCATTTTAAATTGGATGAAAGCAAAGAAAATAACTTTCATTACATTCCATTTTTACTTTTGTTTTGTTATCAGGGTGAACAACTGTGTAGGATTCTCCAATTACAAATTTTTTCTTCTCTTCTTGGCTTACTCACTACTGTATTGCCTTTTCATTGCTGCAACAGATTTACAGTATTTTATCAAGTTTTGGACAGTAAGTACCCTAATCTACGTACTGTCTTTAAGCGTGTGAAGTGACCCCTGTGCAAGAAGTCTTAAGATTCCGAGGCATTACATTGTAATCTAGTATCTCCTAATATGAGGTACAAAAGTTTTATCTAATAAGCGTAGTCCTCTATTTTTTTCTGTTTGTCATAGTTTATGAATTGTCACTTATTTCTTCATTATTTTGAAGCTGTGTAGAACAAGTATGCAATTATTTAGAAAACATTTTACAAGGGAATTTATACTGTAGATAGATTTTGTTAACTTCTTTTAATGCTGTCCTGTGAAAAAGCTTCAGAGAAATCTTCTGGTATTTTAGTTATTATCTGGGTTCACAACTTAGGATATTACCTTCTTAGATTTGCAATATTTATGCTATAATATAAATATTCTGAAAAGGCTAATTAAGGCAATTTTTGTAAAGATATATTTTTCTTCACTAAAAGACACTTCACAGTTCAGATCCAAATTGCAGATTCCTGTTGTCAGTATTTATACTTTCTCAAGAAAGGGCCCTTTCTTGAACTTAGCTGCTGTCAGCAACCTAATTGCCTGGCTGTCTGTATATAGAAGGTGTATAATTCATTTATTCAGACTCTTGTTGTGTGGTACGTTTGTGTCTACACTGAATTTGATTTGGCTGAATAGAGGATTTATTAATAATCAAATTAAACAGCTATTTCCCCAATTCTAATGGCATAATTTTTTTTATTTTATTTTTAGAATGGCCTTCCTGATACTCAAGCCAAGTTCCACATCATGTTTTTATTCTTTGCTGCAGCTATGTTTTCTGTTAGTCTGTCTTCTCTCTTTGGGTATCACTGTTGGCTTGTCAGCAAGAATAAGTCTACATTAGGTAAGTAGATTTAATGCTTTTGTGTTTGACAGCACTAACTAAATAATAAATGTATATTATATGTATGGGAGTAATGGAAAAAGCAGGCAGTCCTATACAAGTTCCTTGGACCCTGGTTAGAAGTGCCCGGATCTGGCAGTGTCCGGTACTGACTCCCCAGTTCTGCTGCTCCGCGGAAATTCATGACTCTCTTCCTCCTGCCCCAAGGGACCAAGCTATTAATGAACTCATCCTCTTTATCCGACTTCCTCCCATCCACAGCTTGTTATTAGAAACTGAATAAATTAAAAAATAAATAAATATGAGATCACTTTGTAATAAATGTTAGATGCACTAAGGCATGCTCACACAAGTGCTTCTTGTTTGGCATCCCAGCCCCCAGGTCAGGGTCCCCTGATGAGGTGTCTCAGGGCAGTGGCGCCAGCCCTTCATTCCCACCCTTGCACGCTGTGGAACCAAAGTTCCTCTGTTCAGTTTGTTAATTTTAAAAACCTCAAAGAAGATGGCCTGTGCTTCTACTCTGGGGCAGTATATATAGCTGCATTGAATGTTGGCGTTAAACTAGGATTTCCCACTGCTTGGATGCATGTTTGGTTACAAATCTTAATAAACAAGCAAATAAATAAATGGAGTTGCAGAAAATTGAGTGCCTGTTCTGTACTACATCCTGGACTGTAATAATACCAATTTGCAATATATTCATTAAAGTTTCTAAATCTCAAAATGCTTTTCTGTTATAAACTGAATTAGAGTAAGCCAATGAATTGATCTGGTTTTTCCAGTTCTCTTCAGATTTACTAATATGTCAATGATTAATGGAAAACTTTTACTATATATCATTGGAAGAAAGCTTGTTTACGTCAAGATTTCTGTAGGATTTGTGGATTTCTTCAATATTCTGAAAAATCATCTACTTAGCAATTAGTATCGGAAAAAATTTGTTCAATCTAGTTGTAAGTGGAGAAAAGTTTTATTAATGATGCTTAAATGAACAGAAATAATTAAGTATTCTGTTTACAAACTATTCTTACCATTTTAGTGCAAAAAAAAAAAAAATTGTTCAAAGGTAACAATAATGCAGTACAGTTCTAATTCAACATTTCATGTTTTTAAAAAAAATTGAATTCCATACAGGTAATAGAGCATGTTTTCTGTACACATAAGCTACTCAAAAAGATGTGTTTGTCTCTTCTTCCCATTTTACTTTGGGAAATTGCTCAATATGTGAAACCCTGAACATGCAATAGTTTGGTAACAAAGCCATGACAGCTTTTAAGCTAAATCAGCCTGGGAGCTGTTTTCCTAACCTGACATGGGCATCTAAAAGGGTATCTATTTTCCCTTCCCCCTTCTTTAAAACACCTTGTAACTAAAGCATACTACATGTTGAAGGTCATTTGTAGCAGTTCATAGCTAAGGATTTACTGGAGAAGGATGATTTCTGCATGGTTATAGCATGGTTTGTGTGAGCTGTACTGTCCGGACATCAGGACATCGTTTGCCTACTGTATATAGCCAATTAAGGGAATTAAATGGCTATCAGTCACTTGGTGGAAAGTGAATGACTTTTCTGCTTCAGGCACTCTGCAACACTTGAAGCTATATTTAGCTCTCTTCTCCAGAAATTTAGGTTGGTTGTCCGTGGGGAATAATCTGGGTCTACGAGTAAAGTGCTTGCTTTATGCAGCTGTAAAAACACACAGTATCTTCATTCCCCAGGGCATGAATACTACTAGTCTTACTCCTAAAGTAGGTTAAGCTTTTCTTCTTTTCCATTACTCTTTCTGTAGTAAACCCTTTGTTTCGGTTTTTCTTTCTTGAACACTCTCTGTGCTGTAGTCACATGCTGAAATCTTCATAGAGCATATCAGGCCTTCTTAAAAAGTGAGTTCCTCGCTCTTCCTTGCCTTGATTAGGGAGGAGGGTGGAGGAGACTCCCTTCCTCAGCCACAGGACTTCCTCTGCACGCACCGTGACCATCTAGCACTGGCTTTGGCTTTCAGGAGCAGACTGATTTTTGCCGTTGTTTGGGCAGTACAGCCTTTCCTCTTGATGATGGTATTGTCAGTGCAATTGCTTAAGTACCAGTGTGAAACTTAAATGTGCTATCTTGCAAAGAGATCTGATTATTTTATTTTTTTTTAAGAGGTGTTCAGAGCTCCCATATTTCGTCATAGAACAGACAAGAATGGCTTTAGCTTGGGATTCAGCAAAAACCTCAGGCAGGTATTTGGTGACGAGAAGAAATACTGGTTGCTGCCTGTGTTTTCAAGGTACGCTCTGTTTTTAATGCTTCATTTGTTGAAACCATTGAATAATCAGCATCCACAGGGTTTGAGGCGGTGGTTAGTTTTTCGAAATAAGATACGGTAATACTCACTTTAGAAAAAACAGTTGTTCAAAGTTTTGTGGGTTGGGTTTTTTTTTGTATGTGTGATACTAATTCTGACTTTCTCAGTCTAGGGGATGGCTGCTCCTTCCCAACTTGCCTTGTTAATCAGGATCCTGAGCAAGCTTCCACACCTGGTGGTCTTAATTCAACATCCAAAAAGTAATCTGCTTTTTGTTACTCATTTCAAATAGTGGATATTCTGTTTTTTGCTGTGCAAATACAAATAGAACCACATATAAGATGCTTAGAAGTGGTAAGCAAATGAAGAGTATCCTAATAATAAATACCAGTCAGATTTTTAACAGCTAAGCTGTAATTCAGCTAATCCTCAGATACATATTTAAATTTATGGAAATAAGGTGGGGGGTTTTTGCCCCCCCAGTGTGCTTTATGTCAGTTCAGTGGCATCCCAGGACCTGAATTTTCCACACCTGCCTAACATTGAGTATCAGTAACATTCTGTTCTGCACACAGATGAGACAGTTAGTCAGTCTGCCTGTGATACAGATGCATTAATTACCTTGCAAGGCTTTGGGGAAGGCCTGCGTCTTCCTATCTGGTGAAAGATGCTTCGCGCAAGGGAATCCCAGGCCTTGGCACTTGTGCCAAAGCGCAGGAAGCTGCATATTAAACGCATGCGTTTTTATTTCTGCTGATAATAGGACATATTTTCTTAATTCTTATCTTTCATGGACGTGACATCTTTAAAGTGCAAAGAGTATGCAGACGCTCCTTATGCTAAATAAATATAATAGCTTAGTATTTCACATTGTAGCATTTTTGCAACATTTATGTAATGAAGAGTGTGATAAGTATAGTAGACTCGAATATATGACTAAGAAATGATAATGGAATCGTATTGACAATATCGCATTCATAAAAGAAATGCATTATGTTTCAGCTAGCTGTTTATTGACATTTTAAATCTTACCCCAGTGATCCATAGCTTATATTGGCAAGAGACATTGGAGATGTTCTCTCCGCTATTTATCATGTCAAGTTTGTTGTAGTGGAAGAGGATATGGATAGAGTGCATTTGGAACTGGAGTACATCTATTAATATATAATAGCAGCCAAAGAAAAAGTCAGAATGTTTCCCTGTTCTCTGCTAGGGAGTCACTTTTTAGATTACACTGTAGTTGTTACAGATGTAAGCGCAATGTAGGTAATGATAAAAGTGTAGGGATTCATCAGAAAAGCAGCAAGGTAAGCTGGGGAAAATACCGCGTATGACAAACTGTAATGTGTGGTAAGATAATGAAAAAATCACTGCAGGTTACTAATGTTCTTTTATCGGCATTACAGTGAGAACCACCTGTTTCCTGCAAAGCCATTGCGCGATTCCCAGAGCCACCTTCTTACAGATACACCGTCTTGGTCAGAAAGTAGTGCAAAGGCTGAAAAGGGCAAAGTTGGTAAGGAACCGATTTCTGAGCAATGACTCGTTTTGTAATAAACTTCATGAACTCTATTTTAAAAGCACGTTCGTAGGAAATTCTATGTATCGAGCTGTGGTGCCCTTCCCAGTTAAACCTGACCAAGAGATACTGAGAGTATCAACACCAGTAGGTGCTAATTATCTTTTAGGCTAAGCCTGATAATTCTTTTGGCGACAAATTGCTTCTACCAGAATATGATGACACTTTTTGCAGCTAGTGAAAAGCCATGTCATGGACAGAGGACAGGAGTAGGCTTGGTAATAGTGGAATGACCCTAAGGTGAATTGTTAATTACACGTTGTATTATTTGCTGAAATAGACATGAGACCTTTTCCTGTGGAAATACCATTTTTTTTGTCTTTAAAGGTATGAGCAATCCTGCATTAACCATGGAAAATGAAACCTAATTTCCCTTAAAAGAAACATCTGAATATGTAAGGAAAGGTATGTTAATATTTTCTGTACTTAATATGTTATTCCATGATTCCTCAACACTTGAAGATTGCACAAAAGAAAATAACTAAAGCACTTCCTATCTGTTTTCTTTTCTTCAATTTAATTTTTCTTTTTTTTTTTTTTTTTACCATGAGTAGTAGCACACTAATTCAGTTTTAAACTAAACCTCCTATTTCTTGATGTGTCATGCTTGCCAAATAGTTTAACATTTATAGCCATTGCTTTTAGGTAATACTCCAAAATATTATTATTACCTTTCTTTAGAAAGATCATGAAATTGTGACTATTCAAGTTGTCCAGCAAATATTTGTAAAGCTAAGTTTGAAAACAGAGTTAGTTCTGAACACAAAGATCATAGCTTGGTCTGCTAAAGCAGGTAAAGGTCTATCAGATGATGAAGGAAAAAAGATTTATTCTAATATGTAAGCTATTAGCAGCTTGTTCTTCTATGCCAGGTACTGAGCTGCATCCTATTTAATAACAAAAAAGTTCTGCCTATGGAAGACAAAAGGTGTCCGTATGACTTCCTGAGCATTTAGTCACCTATTGTTAAAAACAGCTGAGATTTTTTTTTGATTTCTTGCATTGATATCTTGCAACATAGACTTCTTGGAAGTCAGGTTTGAGAAGCAGCTAGTAAATTCTTTTAAGAGGAGGGGACCTCAGTTGGGTTGCGGGGAATGAACACAATCGATCATCATATTCTCTTTAGTACTGGAAGATTTCTAACTCCATCAAAGCTTATGGAAATCAACCATATCATATTTAAAAAATATGGATAAAAAAAATTTTACTCCAACCTTAGGAATTTCAGCATACCAAATAATTTACAATTTTCCAACATTGGCGGAGTCATTCTAGCAAGGTCATTTCCATCTCTGCTATTGGAAGCACCCTTTCAGTCATCCTGAAAAAGTGTCTCAAGCGGATGTCCTTCATTTGTGTGTGACGTGACTCTCGGACATGCTGTCACAGCTGTCAGGTTGCTCTCTGTCACTCCTGGAGGAAGTGGGAGGCATGGAAAGCCATCAGAGAACAGCAGTGATTGTTACTAGACCCATCAGGCATGGTATTGCACTGTCAAGGCAGATTATAAAAATGGTAGGTGTGCAGATACCAAGAGGTGGCCTGTAGCTTGTACCAAAAAGGTCCCAAAAGTTCAGTTGGATTCATCAGAGAAACTGAAAAATTCTTCACTCTCGCATTCTGGTTTTCTGTTAAGCAGTGAATGAAGACACAGATGGTTGCAGATATAGGTACATCTATAAATTTGGTGATGGTGTGAAGTGTTAAAGTGTTGAAAATGTGGGTGTCAAATGAACAGAGTTAAAGAAACGAGCAAATGAAACTGAGCCGGTGTCTGCAATTTTGACTGCTCTGTGTAGGTTGTTTGGGGTTTTTTTAATAGAATCTAAAAATCTCATTTCTAACCCTTTGTTCAAAAAGTAAAATGCCATGCTTCTGCCCTGTTTAATCTATCAGTTGTTTCAACGAAACAACAGCTTCTGGAAAAGAACAGTTAGTTTAATGTCTTATGTGTCATCGCTACTCAAGAGTAAAGAGTTGGTGATGCTTTAAAAAAACAGATTTTTTTAATTATGTTACAGAAAAATCATTAATTGCTACTAGTTTTGTCAGGTTGGAGTTCTACTTTCTGAAGTCCTAACACTTAAGTGATAATTTTTAAACTTTAGTCTTTTTTTTCAAGAGTGCATACATTTTATTGGTACTTTGTGGTTGTTCTTGAGATGCTGAAAGTGTGTTTTTCAAGCTGTATAGCTTGATAAACATCTTGTGCTCTTTTTTTGGTTTTGGTTTTTTGGGGGGGGTTTGTTTTTTTTCTTTTAGTCCAGTCTGAGAAAGGAACAATTAGATTTGTGTTTGCAGTCTGATTACACCACCCCCTGGGGTTTGGAGGTTTTGGGGGTTTTTTTTGTTTCTTCTTTTTTATGAGCATCCATTTTGAAGTGCAGCATTTTAAAGAGACCACCGTCAGAGGAGGGTATGTTCCAAAAAATAAGTGTAAAGGCATGTAAAGGGGCTATTGGAAGTTAGTTTTGCCTCAGAGCAACATGTGCACATCTCAAAAGGGCAGTAGCTAAGGACTGACTGTTTCTCTGGCATAGCATAAGTGCCAGTTTGGTTGTACCCTTAGCTCTGAGATGTTTCTGTGTGGCACTTGAAATACTTTCTAGAGATGTAACAAAAAAGCTAGATTACTCTGTGTGTGTGTGTGTATATATATATAATCTCACATACAGTTGCTGGAATAGGAGCCCTTATATAAAAACATTTTTAGTTTTTTTTTTAACTACTTTGCATTTAATGTCATTACTTTATTGACAGCATTTGAGTTATATTTGTTCCTAGGGAGTGAATAGAATAATAAAGATGCTGAAGTCACAACAACAAAACCAAGTAATTTCATCTTTGACATGAAAAATACAGCCCACAGCCCCTGCCAGTGTGTTGGTAATTTTTTTTTTTATTTCTGTCCCAACTAAGGATATGTTCAATATCCTGTAATCCTTCATAGTTAATCAGAGGACTAATTACTGAGAGTGCCAGATGTGGTTTATACTAATACAATAAAGAATTGGTTTTTAATGATGTTGGTACCTGGAAGTACTGTAAAAATAGCTCACTTTATTTTATAAACTGGTGGCCTGCTCGCTATGTAGTCAGTGTTTAATCACTGTCATCCTGAAGTGGATTAAGAACATAACTGTGAACAGTCTTACCGTGTTCCTCTTCAGGGAGGGATTTTTCATTCAGCTGTTGTTCACTTTCCCCTTTGAGTTGATGAGACTTGTTGCAATAACTTAATGTTTAAGTATTCTTCAATTCTAATAATGTATTTGGTGATGAATGTTCTGTTCCAGTTCAAGAAAAAGCTGTTGTTGGAAGGAAGATGCATTCTTCCAAATATCAGCCCTGTTGGCCAGCTGCTCCTGTCTGCTCCTGTGTCGATGTGCTCAGAAAACAAACTGGCAGATGATTAGCTGTCTCCATGTCACTGCTTGAAACATGAAACTAAACATACTACTTCTGAACCTTATAAAGAATGTTTCAACTTAAAATTACTGGTTTTGAATAGTGAAGGATGATTCTGAGTATTAGGGGGAAAAAGAAAAGGAGTCTGAGTTTACAATTGTAAAATTTCAGTGGCTAGTTTTACTTTATATTCAGCACAAGAAGAATGTGACCTCCTTACATATCAGTCCCTGTTCTTGCCTTGGTTTTGAAAATTCACCTGTTAATTCAGATTGCTGTAAGTAGTTGACTTTAAAATCAAATTTTTGCACTACTGGCTTTATGAATTGGGAGAACAGCCAGTGTTGATTACAAATAATTTAGTGGCTTGGTGGACAGTATTTTATTTTGAGCGCTTGATACGCAATTTTTGAAGATAAGGGGACCCAAGTGAAATGTCTGACTATTTTTGGAACATTTTTGGAAAACGTTATTGCAAAAGCTCCATTTTTCCCTCAGATCTGCACTACCAATAGTTAGAAGAGTTACGGGGCGGGGGGGGACATGATGCTGCCTTTGTTAATTAAATGCTACAGTGGGTCCCTGGGAAGTTGAGTGATAAAAAGCCTGCGTTCAGATGGATAATACAGAGAATGAAGCTGGCCAGCTGGGGCTTTTGATGGGAGCTGCACAGGACAGTGCTATGAAATGGGGATTTTATTGTCCCATTTGGAACCATTAAAGCCTTCGGGAAATGAATGTTGGCATTTAACTTTGATCCAAAAGGCTTTTTACCAACCTCTGCCCCTGAGCGCCACTGTCTTTCAAAATCCTAGTTTCTTATTAATCAATAGTTGTCTCAGATTTCTTTTTTCACTTGTTAAGACAGTACCTTTCTTACTGCATAACTTAATGAAGATCATGTACAATCAAGGAGACTTATTGTTAGAACTTGTGATATTTCCATGTACAGGACAACAGATGTTTGATTGCAATACCAAAAAGCCAAGCTGCTGCATGTAGGAAACCTGTTTCAATGAAGTTAGGAGCTAGCAGCTTGCTTGGGATCAGAGTTTACTGGCCAGATAATAAAAGATGTATTATCAACTATCAAAGTCAAGGAAGTTTCAGCAACACAAATCTAATTGTCTTGTGCCTTTTGTATACACTACATTTATGGTATCAGTGTTTACATTTAAATGCAAATTGTTATTCTGAAAACAACTTTAGGAGGAACTTGGTTATGCTTTCTAGGTGGCTAGATAAAAAGACTAATCAAAAAAAAAGTGAAAAACTCAGACTAAGCTCAGTTCAGTTGAAGCAGAACAGTACTTCTGTTATCAAACCTGAGTCACTTAGCAGGTTGGTTCACAGTGTAAAGATGCCAGTTGTTTGTTAAGAACACTGGCAGCAGCACTAAGTGACAGATTTCTGAAAGCAAAAATCTTACCTTTAACTCTTCTACAGGCAGGTAACTTTAAAATTTGTCTTTCTTGGGTTTACAACTTAAGTGATAGCTGTTGGAGCACAAACGTGGTTTGTTTTTTTTTTTCCTAGTGAGGGAAGACTGTCTTTTTTTTTTTTTTTTAACTCTCAAAATTTTACCAGCCTGAAAACATCTGTTTCTTGCCAGAAGTGCCAGAGTGTGGAGCCCTTGATGTAGAACACTTTTTTTTAAACTAGCATGAAGGTAGCATACAGTTTACATGATGCCTGCAGACATCTAGCAACCAAAAGTTTTTTGCAGCTACTTATTCCGTGTTTTGTCAGCTTACCTCGTATTAGTGTTTGTTTAAAGGCTAACTTGTCAAGGTAGAAGGGGGAGAGGGAAAAATATATTTTTTAACACTTCAGGTTCTCTATCTGTATAGTCTTTTTTTTTTTTTAATGCAGTTAGTCACAGGGTGGTTTGTCATGGAGCATGCATTTGAAAATACTGAGTAAAAAGTTGAAATTCAGCTTCAGTGTAACTTGCTCCAAATGTTTACATAAAGAAAAAGTACACATTTCTACCCCAGCAAAACTCATACTGGAAATGGCTCTCTCTAATAGAGGTGTCAGCCTCCCTGGCTATGTCCAGGGCTCTGAGCATTCTCAGTAAGGCTGGGGATCAATGTAGAGAAAGGACAGGGATAAGGGATCAAGAAATGCCTGGTGTCTCAGAAGTCACACTTAGAAAGCACAATAGCCCTAAAGAATCTGCAGCTTTGATGTAGCCAGAGGCTGTCTCTCTAGGAGAAACCTGATCAGGGCTTGGGGAACATGCTGATGAAGGGAGAAGGGGAAAGAGCAAGGAGGGTAGCTCCCAGGTAAATGTTCAGCAGCTCTGAGCCAGAGGGCTGCAGCTACACCTGCTCTCAGGATGGGTACCTCTGCCTCTCTGTGAAGAGCACTGCCAGCAGGCTTTGGGGGTTCCTGGCAGTTCTCACTGTATAGAGCATGGACAAGTGAGCTAACCATGCTCCAAAGTATAACTCCTGATATGACTCTATTGGCTTTAAGGTCTCTAATGCTTTATATAGCAAAGTGAAAAGGGTCTTTTTGACACATTGTCATTGCACGTTGATGCTATTACAATGCACATGGGAGAACTTGTGAAGAGGTAAGGGGAGGAAGGGTATATTGTTGTTTGTCCACTTACACTGATTCTCCTTTATATTTTTGCTAGGCACTTTACTACAGCCTTTTGTGTAACCTGTATTTTTTTTAAAGACTGCTTTTTACCTACTGTACAGTTACTAATCTACTTTTTTGCTAAAAAGAAAATAATAGCCCTGATATTTGTCTAGCAGTATGACTGCATTTCAAGCTTAAGTGGAAGTTGGACGAGTTAGACACACTCCTCTGATGGGCCTGAGTCCCTAATGACAATAGAATTAAATTTATTTTGTATATATATGTAAAGTCACATGAATCATAGCCCCCTACATGCATAAGAAGCTTCCTTAATTTGTAGGTTAGAACAAATCCAATATCTGTCTGCATCAGAAATGGCCAAACATATTCTCTGTCAGTTGATGTACTGGTGACAGAGTGCTCAAAGTCTTCACAGAGAACTATTTTTAATTAAGAAAATGGAACACCTAGATGTTGGTGAGCTCTTCCCACTGAGCAATTAGACACAACTGCTGCACTTTAATTCTTTAACTTGGGAGAAAAAAAATATTGTCCAGTTTAAGGTGCACAGTGAAAGTTCTTTAGTAGCCTACAACTGTGGGCAGGTAGTTAATGAAACTGCTAATTATTTTTAACTGTTTGTGTACTTAAAGTCAGGGTCTTTGAGCAAGACTGCAGAAAGATTGCAGGAAGCAAACTTGGTTTAGTGCATGGTGTGCTATAGCTGTTGCTAATCATCATTTGGACTGGAGTTCTTGCCACTTGTTACTGTATTGCTCACATAAATAAATGCTTCATGTTCAGCAAGTCACATATGTAGTAGTCATTGACATGCTACCTTCAGTTTTACTGACAGTGTACCTGAAGAGAACATCATCTCTACTCTGGCTTCATTAACAGCCTAGTTGCTGTGATTGTCCCCCCTCACGAGCACTCTTTTACTTGCCTGTAGGTAAGTTTTCCCTCCCCAGTTTAATTGCGAGATGCCTAGCACCTCACAAAGCACCTCCACTGTGACATAGGTTAAGAGGGAACCAAATCCTTTTTGGTCTTTCATGGGTGAAACACTCCATGTCTTCATGCTGGCACAGCAGACACAGCTGCACTCCTTTGGATACTGCTAAAGGCTAAAAAGGTGGAATTTTGTCCTGAAAAAGAGGGGGTTTTTAAACCCAACTTACAGAAATGCAGAGGTGCAAGGAAGTGACGTATGTTACCAGAGTTGTCACCCACACCAGCTTTGCTTCACGAGGGCTGTCCAGTCTCTCCTATGCCAGATTCTTCCAATGGTCCTGACTTCCCCCTCTTTGTACTGTGCTAAAGATTTCCCCTAGGAAAGCACTGGATCCACTGCTGGTGCAGAGAGGAAGGAGACTGCTCAGGGGCCTCTCAAAAACACTGGAACGTTTAAATAAAGCTTTGTTCCAGTTTATACATAACCTGGAGTGTATGCTGTGAGCTCTTCCCTTTTTTTTTTTTTTTTAATTTAAAACCCTTGTTTAAAAAGGTTTTAAATAAAATAATACTTGTATGGAAACATATACAAACATTCACATCCAAAACAAGAAGATGAAAAAAAGAATGTACTGCTATGCTGTATGAGTGGTGGGGTGTCTTTGTTGCCACTTTACTTCCAGCTCTCACTTGTTCATCAGTGACCTGGTAAGAGGCACGTAAGAGGAGCAGCCTTCTGGGGTGAAGTTTAGAGCAAGCAGCATGTGACATAACCTAAGGAATGCCTTGTCTGCTTGCCCTTGGCAGATTTTCAATTGTTCCCTTTTTAAATTTATCATTATTCTATTCTTTTTTTTTCTTCCTTTCCATGGAAGTCCAGATGGAAAAGACTTTCATTTGAAACGTACAATCGATATCTACATCCTCTTTATCCCTCTCCCTCCCAAGGTTTACTCTAGATAGATAATTCCTTAATTTATCCAAGTTTTCCTAATGGCACCCATCACTGAAATACAGTAACTCAGTCCTGCTGCAATCTGGCTGTGTAGTTTCCGGTATTTGGGGCAATGATTACATTCTTCATCCTAGATCACTGTAGTCTTCTCAAGCAGATGGGCCCAACACTTCGATTGCAGCAGTTGGAGGAGTGTGCTGTAAGCCATGTCCCCTTTCCCACCTCCTGCATGCTCACACTTTAACTGAGTGGCATAACTGGAACAGGCCCAACACTTCCTGACAGTCATCATTTTATGAAGTAATTTTCCTTTTTTTCTTCTGAAAACAGTAAGTCTCAGTTCACCAAAGAAGGAGCCCCAGTTATAAAGACAAAATACACAACATGTATTTTGTGATGTAACATGTATATGTAACTGTGTGAAACAGCCCTGAACAACCTAAACCTATTTCCAATTATTTTCTCTATCATATCCGAGATTAAAGTGGCCAGTGGTTCAAACAGGTACAACAGAGAAAATCAATAGCTTGCTGATGATATAAGCACACTAGCAATTAACCTTCATACAAAACACTACCATAGAT